ATCATAGCACAGAAGCAAAATCAAGCCTCTCATGCTCCCAGCCCTGGGTATCCTGTAGAGCCAATTCTCTGAACACAAGCAATGGAAACATAGGATGCTTCTTGGGTGAACAACCTAAAGATTTAGGCAGCTATTAAACAACCATGGATAATACACCACAGTCTGGGATGGTTCACAGAGCCAGAAATACAGAATTTGAACTGGTTTCAGGGTTGCCAATCCAACAGCTCATCAGTCCCCACAGGGACCCTGGCTCTCTCTGCTCTTGCTACAATTTGCAGGCACTGGCCTGGCCCTCCTAGTCTCTCTCAAGGGTGGCAGCACTTCTGGCCCTCACGCCCTGTCAGAGGCAGAACCAGAGGCACTGAATTAAGGAGTGACTTTCTCAAGAACAAGAGAGTCTTTCTCAGAGGTTCCTGAACAAATTTCCCCTCACAGTCCTGGGTGGAGCTTGGTCAGGAGCCCATGCTGAAAGCAGCATGTCAGAGGAGCCAGGCCATGGCTGTAGAGGCCCTCATCAGGTGTGAGTATTGGCTTCAGGTGAAACTTTGTGAAACTTAATCCAGGTCAGTGATATCTTATTAATGCCAGGAATTTCAGGCCAGGAATCCAGGTAGGGCTAGTCACCAAAGGGCCATGAGACAGCTCCTGGTGGAACTAGACTAGTATTTGAAGGTATTTTTTAGTTACAGCTGGACTTTTGCATGAACCCAGCCTCAGGTTTGACAATACAGATAGGAAATTCAATGAGGAACATGAAGGAGCATGTTTCTTGTTTTGTTTTGTTTTTCCTTTGTAATCTAACCCAGGTACTATGACAGAAATTTCAGCTTTGGTAAAATGTAAATCAGCTTTTAGATGACTGGATCACAAGTTTTTTTTTTTTTTAATACTTTTACTTTTTTAAGATTTATTTATTTATTCATACAGAACTGGGGTACAAGCCAGAGGTGCAGGGGAAGTGAGAGGATTCACCAGAGTGGGGAGTAGAACAGGCAGATTGACAAAGTACACTGCTGAGGAGAGCAGTGGGCAGGTCAGGAGAGGTCTGCGCACCATGTGGATCACCTCCAGGCTGGGGATCAAACTCATGCTGAAGCGGCTTTAGCTTCTTAGTGTTGTGCTTGGATCACAAGATTTTTGCTTTCTCTTTCTTCCTCCTTTTCTTTGTATATGCTTTTGATTTTTAAGAAAAATGAATGTGTTTGTTTTTATAAACGGAATAATAATATAATCTGTATTTGAGGGAAAGGTGTATTATGCTTGTCATTTAAAACAACACAGGAAAACCCCACCACAAATGAGAAGCCTGATGATCTGTTTTGTAATATTTGAAAATAAACCAACTTTATTTGAATCAGTCAATACCAATCAAGACTGGGAAACAAATTTATAACTGGTTCAGATTCATGAGGAAAACACTCAGCAATATCTTCATTAAAGGCGTTTTATATTTATTAAGGCTTGAAAGCAAGTCCTATTATTTTAGCAACACAGTTAAAGGTCGTGAGAAAATCAAGTAACCATCATTTGGAGTGTCTCAATAAAAGGAAATGTTTGTTCAGGAAATGTTTGTTCTCTCATCAAAGCTAGGCATCGTTTGCTAGATTAGTTAACACACCAGCTCGTAAAATGGGACAATCAGGTGGTCAGGAAAATAAGATAAATTCAAATAGCAGTTGGGTATTTTATATTCTAAAAGTATGCATAGTTAGTAGTGTGAAATCTTTATTATACATAAAATACCCTAGATGATTGGATCCCGAAAAGTGTTTTTCTTTTGTTGAAGCACAGTTTAATCCAAACTGTATCACGAGACAATGTTTCATTGGATTATTGGTTGAAGAGAGGAGTATGGATCCATGCTTTTAAGTAACATTAAGTAAAATTATGCACAATTGGGGCCATACTTAATTACAAAATCAGAGTATTCTGAAACAAAGGAGGAAAGTGTGGAGAAAGGGAGAGGACTGCGGGAGCACTCATGCTTTGGTGTGGATGTGAGCGAACAGTGGGTATAATGGGCAAGAAGGGCCCCCAGGTCAACTGAGGTCACCACCTCTGCTCTCCTGACAGCAGAACTGGGATACCTAATGAGCTCCCTTCTTTCTCTGGGCCTTAAGATTCTTTGTAATATCATAGAACAATCAAGGAAATGATGCCCTAGGAACTTAGTTTGAACTGTGATTTAAGTATATTTCATCCTTTCAAGGAGACCCCAGCATCCTGATACACTTTGCCTTTGAAATGACTCCTGACCAGTAAGGAGCGGGGTCAACACCTAAGTGCCCAGAGAGCTGCTGTTTTTAGACCCATTTCACTATAGACACAGGCTGTTGGTTGGATTCTCTTGGTGGAAGATTTGTATTAGTGAGACCTGCACCTTCCTGACTCAGTGTCCCTTTAATTTAGACTTTTAGATCACCAAGATTTAATCCAGGTGTGAACCCTAGTGTGACTGAGGTGCTCGGAATTGTCAGTCTATGTGTGCTGCGGAGTGTCCACTGAGCACACTATGGAGAGCTTCTGTTTTTGTGTTTACAAACATTAGTAAACGAGGCCCAGGAAACCTCCCTGGTGGCGTTACCTTTTTCTATTGAAAAGATCAAGCTATCCTCGGGTCCCACCAGCACTGGATGTGAGCTCTGTGGATGGGCCTGTTTCCTAGGAAGTTGAAACTGGTCTGAGCTCTTGTGACCAAATAAATAAAGTGATGGAGTGTGATTTTTCACTTTTCAACTCATGAGTCTGGAGCCAGGCAGCCAGCTGAATCCCTGACCAAGCTGAGAGGAAGGTGGTACTGAGTGGATGGCAAAGTCGAAGTGGTCATTCTGACTTGATTTTTGTTTCTGCCTCTACCTGCTTTACTACCCCAACACAGAAGTAGTGATGTTGAAGTCAAGGAGAGAAATAAAGAAGGATCTCCACCCAAAGAAATCGCCTTTCTATGCCACCAGCACTTTCTAATGCATTAATAATCACTCCAAGCCAGTGACAAGGGTTACCGCCTATCTTAAAATTCTGGAGTGTGGGGTCAAATTGCTTTGACATTTCCTCAGCTGGTTCTTGGGACAGCTAAGGGTCTCATCCTATTGGTGCTGAGAGGTGATTTGATGTGTGTATGACAAGTGATGGCCATAGCTCAGGGAAGCTGAGGGTCTGAAGAAAAATCTCTCTTGAAAAAAAAAAATCAGAAGAAAATATTATTTACGAGTACTCCGATAAATCTGGTCATGAAACATTAAAACTCTAAGTCAATAGTCAGTTGCATTATATGATAATCTACTTTGAAGTAAAAAGATTAAGTTTCCAGAAGTACCTTCTTGCTAACTCCTCCCCTTCTTTTAAGTGGTGATAATTGTAAGGTAACTGCCTCCCATCCCCACCCCAAAGTCTAACATTGTACTTTGGTAAAACTGACTCAACCACAGAAGGAAAATCTAGAAAACAAGGAAATTGGTTTGTCTAATTTGTCTTTAAATAGGCTGGTAGCCAACAAGGACAACTGGGGCTGGAGTTCTGAAAATCAACTCTGAGTCTTCAGCCTCTGGGTGGAGTTGCCCCACCTGGATGTCCTTTTCTCTGAAGGCCTGGGGGAATGAGGAGCAGGAGAGTGTTGAGGTGGGTGGGCCTGTTTGTGCTTCACAGACTCCTTCAAGAACAATGCCCAGTGGGTCTCTAGAAAGTAAACTGCCTCTTGTAGGCCATCTCACCTGTGCTGCTCAGGTCAGGGCAGGATTTCTGAATACAATAGGATTTCACACCAATTAAAAGGCCTCCAGGATCACTCAAGCTTTTGTCTCCCAGGAGGCCAACTGGGTTTTTTTCCCTCCCCATGTCTCCTTCACAAACAAGTGCAGAGACACTTTCTAGGGATACTGTGGAAAGGCTCCTGTAGAGCTCCTGCCTTGTTCAACTCTTGGGTTTATAAAATGTCCTCCTGAGAAATTTCCTCTTCCTTAGCTATGAAGAAACCTCCTGCTTCTCCTTTTTTCTGATCAGTGGGTTGCTTTTTTCCTTTAGAGGCAGGTGGGCCCAGGGTTAGACTTGGGGCTGAAATTTGTTGATGTTTCTGTAGAAAAGACCCACACTGCCAGATCCTCACTGAGAAATAAGCCAAGTCCTGGGGCCTTCTGGCACCTGGGGGCCTTTCCTATAACCAGCAAGGGGCATAGAAGGGGGGATTATTACAGGTGGTGGATGACTTTTCTCACAGGCCTTCACTGGGTGGGAACTGATGTAATTGTGTTTCTTGGTTCCCCATGCACAGGTCCCGAGTGCAAGCATGATCAGTTTTTAAAGGAGGTGAAACTCAGCTAAAATTTTTTTTACCGTCTGTTTCTTTCTGGTAGTTGAGTCAGATGACAGGAAGATTAACCCAGATGGTATGTATTTTTCATGGAGTTCAAATCACATGGTTTCCCAGTCAGAAAGGCCATGGACTTTCTTCCTAAGGTCTGCCATGATCCTGTCTCTTCTTGAATGTGATCCTGTCTCTTCTTGAATGTATCATTCAGCCACCAGAGACCAAAGCTGACTCATCCAGGAGCACCAGCCAGCTGACCAGCCTCCAGGAGCAACTTGAAGAGACTGGAGAATCATTTTTGACCAGTTGGGGTTTTGCTATCTATAAGGTTGGTAGTTCTATGACATCACCAATTCAAGACATAGTTGGATCATGAGAGAGAAGACTCACCAAAAGATTCCCAGGGAATATCGAGTCTCCTTTATCTTCACCCGTCCCTCCTCCTCCCTCCCACTCCCATATGCTTTCTCACAGACCAGAATTAATTCATGAATAAACAGTCTAACCCAGGCATGCAATCTCCAAGGAAACAACTACCCACAGCAAGCAATCCCATGTCTGGTAGACCCCCGTGGGCCTTTTGGCATCGACACTGCTCCCCCTCCCCACCCTTCTAGTCACCCAGTTTGCAACTGCAAGCCAAAGTCCTCTCCTGGCAAGATCTGAACAGCATGAAAACAGAGGTCAGTGACAGCCAGGTACGTGATGGTGTGAAGCATTCACAGCACTGTGGTTGAGGAGATGGTGTCTTAATGGCTTTCCAATCTGGCTGTGGGGCCCCACAACAGAAGTGTGAGAGGAGGGAGCTGCTGAGGATGTATTTGCTGGATGCCAAATCCCACAGCCTGCTCCATCCTCCTCCATTCACTCTGGCTCTCCTAACACAGCAGCAGGTCGCTTTGCACTAAGAACACTCAGACGGCATCTCTCGTGGGCCTTGGAGTTACTGTCAAAGAGGAAGGTGGGGACACAGTGTTGCATGTCTCTGGTGTGTCTGAGGAGAGGTGTTGATATTGGCAGAAGGGGACTGCCCCCAAATAAGTGCACTGACTCCAGTCAGGGTCCGAAGGCTGAGAGCTTGAGGGTCTGTATCATTTCTGCAGATGGGTTCCTGCGTGATCAGATGGGGATGGTGCTGACCTCTAGAAGAAGACAGCAGCTGGAGTTCTGATGATGCCAGCAAGATGTCGTCTGATTAAAAAGAAGTTTCCCGAGGCAAAGTGGAAGAGGAGTCTGTGAAGCTGGGATCTACTGGGAGAGGCTGAGTCCTGCAGCAGCAGTGGGGCAAGATGGCTGTGCTCAGGCTCGGCTGAGGCGCTTGGCTACATCCGCATAGGCCAACTCAATCTCCTGGTCAGCTGCACAGGTATTGGTGAACTCGTCCCTGGCATAGGCATTCTTGAGGTACCGCCACAGGCCTGTCATCTCAGCTGGGAAATCGTAGTTGCGATATTTCTTGGCCACAATCTACAACAACAGAGAGAGTAGGGCCGAGATGGCATGAAAGTGCACAAATAAACCCCTCCATGCCTCACACCCAGACGTCAGTCAGTGTTCATCATGCAAGGTGGCAGGGCTTCCTATTATATATTTTCTAAAATAGATACACATGTTTGTTTTTTTTTAAAGATTTATTTATTTATGCATACAGAACAGGGGTGCTGGCCAGAGGAGCAGGGGCAGTGAGAGGATTCACCAGAGACAGAGTGACTGACCAAGAGAGAACAGACAGACTGACCAAGTACACTGCTGAGGGGAGGAGCGGGCGGGTCAGGAGAGGTCTGCCACGCCATGTGGTCACCTCTGGGGCAGGCGGGAATCGAACTCATGCGGAAGTGGCTTTAGCTTCTCAGTGCTGTGCTTTAACCCGCTGCGCCACCAGGGAGGGCCACACATGGGGTTTTTTAAAAGAGAAGAAAATATATGGTATTGACCAGAAATTGCTTTCATTGCGGTACCAGAAAATTCATTATCCTTAGCCCACTTCAGGTACAGTGAGTGCTGCAGACATCGAGATCCCCTAGCTTGTCCCCAGGCCAGGGAGCAACAGCACCCAGGCCCAAGCTGTGCTGAATGAAACAGGATCCCAGTAAAAGGCAAAAGTTATAAAGACTTCTGAAAATACAGTTTCCTTTGAAATGCTAACATTTTTCTTCATTTTTTACCTTATTATGGCCAAGTATAATGGCATTTGATCATTGTTTTACACTGCTTAATAAATAAAACTGACCCATTAATCTAATGATTCTATTTCTAAAGGCTTTTTCCTTAGAAAATAATGATGGGTGTCCACAAAGATTTTGCTCCTAAAGCATGATCACGGTACTATTTGGAAGAGCAAAACAGGGGACTCAGCACAAATATCCATGAACAAATTAATACATTATCCTGTGTGGATGTAGCTGCATACTGGAATCCATCAAAACGATGCTGTGATCTGGAAAATCACAGTGATCTGGAGAAAATCCTGTGATCTAGAAAATTCTTCAAGGTTGTTCAGTTGAAAATACAGTATGACAACTTTTGGAGGATTTGTATATATGATGGCCAGAAGTATATATAACTATGTGTCACCACTGCTTATGTTTGATGGATGGAATTAGAGACAGTGCTTTTCTTTTTTCCCTTACCCACTTTTTATAAAGGGCAAAAGCACAAAAGATGAGTTAGCCATTGGAATGAATACAAAGGTTGAGAGTATGAAAGGGAGTGAATAAACAGTGATTTCTATTCTTTCCCTAGTTTGTCACGCCTGGGAGCTGTGGACTCTGGTGTTCTGGAGAAGTGGAGAAATAGTAGCATACTGATGAAAAGCATGGGCTCCGGATTTCAGTGGAGCTGTTCCACACTATCTGACTCCACATAACAGCTGTGTAACCTGGGACTATTTTCTTAACCTTTCTGAGTCCCAATTTCTTTATCTCTAACACAGAAGTTGTTAATAGATCGATATGGAGTGCTAAATTAGTTAACACGCATATTATGTATGGAGGGTCATCTGGCACATTTTAAGTGTTTAATAAATATTACTATTATTATAATGTATTGAGACTCAGCTTTTGCCCGTTTGCAAGCATTCCTAGACGAAGAGGAAAGGCATGCTGCTGCCTGTCAGTTTCCTTTGCTCCTGTAGCAGCTTGCAAACACTTTCAAGATCAGTGTCATCATCCCAGCACAGAGAGGCTGGCACATGACAGTGACCCCTGTGGGCCTCTCCCCTGAAGTTGGATCCCCACACCAGCTAAATAGCAGCTTCCCTCAGAGATCCAGAGTTCTTCAGGGGTGACAGGAAGGCCTTATTTCAGTTTCTACATTTTGATAATTCCAGCCCTTTCCCTTTGCACCCTGCCCTAGAGGTGGAAACTGGTGGTGTGCTTCTCCTTTCTAGGTCATCAGCACATAGTACTCAATTGTATTAAATTCCCAGCAGTGAAGGATCTGAGTTTGGTGAGGTCACCAAAGATGCCATCTCACAGTGTTCTGCCCAGCTTAGGTGTGGCTGCTCAGCACAGGTGATGGGCCAGAGCCTCTGTGTAGGGCACTGGCTGTGAGCAGAGGTTGAGACAACTCCCAGCGCCATCTTGGTGAATGGGCAAATCTATGTAGTGGAGGTAACTCTCCCAAGGGGAGTAGCTAGAATTTGCCAGAGTGGAGGAAAAGACCCATTGTATGGTCAAGGCATTGATCAAAATATGTTTCACAATTACAAATGGATGTAGAGAGAAGCTTCAAATTAGTCCCTCCATAGTGGAATTTATTTTCAAGCTTTTAAGAATATGAGTTTTAAAACAATGCAATTCATGCTAATAAGTATATGAGTTTCTGTCAACCTTTATGTTTGCTTTATGGACTGAATGAGTTATGGGATTGGACAGGGTCCCAGGAGGGCCTGCGGTGCCTCCCCGACCCAGGTCTGCTCACCCCAAGCCTTAGCCCTAGACATGATTGTTTCCTCACATTTATTTCCTCACTTGATGTGGGGCAATTGATGAACTGTAGAAGGGAGTCAGATAATGGAAGTTTAAACCAGGCTCTCCATGAGTCCTGGGGCCAAAGCAACTCAGCTTCCCAGGGTAAAGGGGAGGCTGAAAAAGAGTCAGGTGAGAGGGGAAGAGGGAGGATAAGCTGGGGACAAGGATGCACATGAAGTACTGACATTTGCAGGAACTTCATGCATGTTCTGAATTTGCTCTTTCACATGAAAATAGTTAGCTCCCATAGTCCAGACTAAGTCTTGGCACTGGAAGCCAAACTAAGACCTGACTTGGCTTCTCCTCCCCTCTTTCTGCACTTTACAGGTTTGCCAGATCTCTGGAATCTGATAAACTGGATCAGCAGAAATCCAAGGAGACATGAGGCCAGGTCTTGCCTTTCCTCCCTTGCAGGCCCTCCTCCGTCTGACCCCCAGATCCCCCAAGTCAACAGCTTCAAGTAGGCCAGAGGCTTAACTCAGGTGTTTAGGCCTGGGTGGAACTGGCAAAATAATAGGATGAAGCACAGGGCTTGGGAGATCCATTTGCTTGTCTTTTTGACAAGGGATTCTCAGAAGGGTAGTCACTACCTGTTGGAGTACATGAGAAGCAAGAAGGGATTAAGAAGAGAGGAGGGATGTAATCCAAATCTTTTCTTTCAGGCTCAAGACAAGCTCCCAAGGGACTAAATGATCTGCCAGAACAAGTGTTAAGTCTTATTTTACTAACTCAGTTGCACCAACAAGCATGTTCTCTCCAGTCTCCAGCTCTGACCAAGACCGACAGGAGCGCCAGCACACACACAGGTAGGTGACTTCAACTTAGCTTGGTGTGTGCTTTGATTGGTGTGTGCATTTCTTACTTGGAATTCCAGATGAAAAAGACAAGCAGATATGCAGCTAACAAATGATTCACTGATTCTTCTCAGTGAAGGGGAAAAAGAAATTGGGATTCAAAAAGACATGAGCTAGGTGATAGAATGATCCATCAGTGAGAATTTATTAAAGGGCCACCATGTGCCACCATCAGACTTGGAGAAGCCCCACTCTTCACAGAACTTCCTGTCTGACCAAGAATGTGAGGTATATACACCTGTAAAAGCAGAAAACAGTGTTGTGGTATGGCCCCGTTGTATTTTCCTCTAGACTGGTGAGGTCAGGAAAAGGTAGAAGAAGGGTTAGTTTAGAAATTTTGAGTGATAACAACTGTAGTCTTCAAAAGAGATGAAAGCTTGAGCCCTTCTGTGTTGCTCATGAGAGCGAAGGTTACAGGGAGGATGTTTTAATAACCAGAGCCATCCAAAGTGGAAGGACTGGCTGGCAAGGCTGAGCGCTCTGCATCAGCAGAGGGTGTGATCCCAGCTGCATGGGGACCTGCCACAGAGACCAGAGAAGGTGGCCCCGTTTGGGGTGGGAGATTGTTTCAGATGACCTGGGAACGCCTTTCTTTCCAGATCGCAGAGCCTAAGATTTCTCTGGGAAAGGAGTTTGCTGCCTATATCAAAGTCACTGCCTATAAGTGCAAGGACAGAAAAAAAAAAAAAAAGTGTCATTTCTGCAGCTCTGTCTCTTCCACTGATAGATGGAAAAGGTGATACCTGCCTGCCTAACCAGGGAACCAGGGAAGTTGCGAGAGGGATGAGAAAGACAAAGAACACATGCATAGGAGGGACTGTTGAAGAGAGATGTGGGGTTGTGGCTAGTAAAGCCTATGAGAAAGCGGCAAGGAACAAGCTTTAGAGTGCTATGTGTGTGCATTATTATATATGATAAGATACTAGCAAGTGTTAAAGATTGTGTCCTTACAATATGCCAGGCATTTTAACATCACAGTTATCCTCCCAGCAGCCCTGAAAGTAAGCAATATACACCTGTTTTACCGGTGAAACTGAAATGCACCGAGTTTATACACTCAGCAGGCAGAGCAGGCTGACTTGAGTTCTTATGTGACTTCAGAGCCCAAACTCTCGACCAGCAGGTGGCGCTATCCTTGACTGAGCCACACATGTGACCTGGGCTTAAAATGGAGTCAGATGTAGTGACCTGGGTAGAGTTCTCTTACCTTGACCACATGTAGCTTGGGCAACAGATTGCAGTCAGCCAGTGTCAGATCGTCCCCGTCCAGGAACTTGCGCCGTGACCCTTTGTCTTCGTCCCCAAAAGTGTTGGCGTCGATCTCCTCTGGCAGAGGGGTGTTCAGGTAGTCATCTAGTTTCTTCAGCACCTTGGTCAGGCCTCTTTCAAGGGCTGGCAAGGAACAGCAAAAAAGGGTCTTTAGTCAAACTTTTTAACACTAGATACAGACACAGGGTCTTCAGAATAAAGCATTGTGCTTCTCTCTTTACCTCTAGATGCCCCACCCACTACAGGATACCTGGTAGCCGTTAGCACCACAGAGAAGAAGGGTTTAAATGGTCTGAGAAAGAAAACCTTGACCAAACTATAAACATTAACTTATCTTTCTCTTAGGAAAAAAAAAAAAAAAAGAATATAGAAATCAAAATTTTAGTAGCATTTATCTCCAGCAAACACAATAATAATTCTCAAAGTTTCTCTTCTAATTTTGCTTATTTATATTTTGCCAATATTCCACAATTAACGCCATAATCATTTTGTAGAAAGATGGGATTATTAAGTAAACAACAATAGCATAGCAGTCCTGGAGCAGATTTTGTGAAAGTGTGAACTATGGCTAACCCAACTTGAGGAGGACATGGCTTCCAGGAGGAATTGGCAATGAAAGCAGGTGGCCCGTTTTCTGCCCTCAGAGAACCAATGGGTATTAGGGAGTGTACTTGAGTTTAATCTGGAGAAGTCTGTTCTAGAAATCAGAGCTATCCAAAATGGATGGACCAGAGCCCCAGGCGGGAGGGTCCACCAGAAATGTACAAACACAGCTGCATGGAAACCTCTCATGGTCACAGCTCTAAGAATGAACATCCAAAGTAAGATAATGTGGCAGGAAACTTTTCCAATCTTTCCCCAATAGTTACCTATCAAATAATTCATTTAGACACAAGAAACAAGCAAAACACTCCAAAGAACAATGGTTGGAAGTCACGATCGCTGTCATTTCACAAGGCACCACACAGACCACTCCAGTCCCAGAACTCTACCAAAATTCTCCACTGAACTCAGAGAGCAGAGGTGGAGGAAGTGACCAGGTCCTTGACCACTGCACCTGCCCACCAACCCCATTCCCACCAGCTATTGTTCCCAGACTCTTAGAGCCTAAGTGGGATATAATTAATGGGTATCAGCCCTCATGTAGATTCTAGAAGATCAAAGGGGGCTGTTGACCCTAGAGGAAGAGCCCAGGAGACGGTGCTCTTGTTCAGTTTTTCCCAAATATGCCTTCTGTTAGCCACTCCCCCACATCACCCATGTTTGTCTTTTCATAAAAGTGCTTTTGTTTGAGACAATGAAATAACACCAGCCAAAGATAAATCAATTGAAAGCTTAATGGAATGTTTGAAAACAAGCTGGAGGTTGGATGCAGTTTCTCAATACTGCCTTCTCCCTGGTGTGGCACTTGAACTTGTACTTCATCATCTGCTTTGTGTTTCCAGTTGTGGGGAACAGAGCATGCAGGACTGGGGAAAACATACTTGTATTCCCCTTAGTAATTGTCTAGACTGGGGTGGGATTGCAAGCCTATTCAAGGGCAACAGCAGAGGGTGGGTACACAACAATACTCATTATACTCTACCCACCCCAACGCAGCATTGTGATTTATATTGTTTTTTTTTTTTTGTTTGTTGTTGTTTTTGTTTGTTTGTTTTGCTTCCTCAACCCCACTACCCTTCTTAATTGTGGGGATTATGACAAAATTTTGATTATAACAGAGAAAGGAAAAATTGGAGAGCATGCCTGTTGAAATTTGACCAACTAATATCACGCAAGGGAAAGAAACAGATGATGGGAAATGAGGCAATTGCAGGTTCTAATTCTGAATGCCCCTCAGAGACCTGAGGTCACTGCACAAATCTGTGTCCAAGTCACCTGGTCTGGGAGCTATCAGGAAACTGGTAAAGGTAACTAGAATAGCAAGTGAAGTTCCTTGGAGGGCAGGAGCTTCTGGATAAATTTCAGCCATCTCTTTAGTGATCTTTTGAGCTGAGAATGTAAAGTTTAGCAGTGCCCTTGCAAGCCAGGTGACATACATGTCCTGAGTATCTTCTATGAGTCCTCTATAGCCATATGACATACATGTCCTGAATATCCTCTATGAGTCCAATATGACATTGGTGTTTTGATCAGGAAAGTGAAGATCAGAGCTAGTATAACCATGGAGAGGAGAAACTGAAGTAGCTAACTGTGTTTAACTATGACTGCGATGCTGCTGAGGTTTAAAGCTTCAAAGTCCCTTGACTGCATGGGTCCCTTCCAAGGCCTTGAACTTGATTTTTTAAATTCCTTTTCTTTTTTTATTTATTATATTGGCTTTGGACCCAATAAATCCTGGAAAATTCCCTGATCCTGGCACTTACTAAGTGTGACCTTGGACAAGTTCCATCAACTTCAGTGAACTTCAGTTTTCTCATCTCAGTGGCTGGACTCAAGATCCCTAACTTGCGTAAGGTCATTGTGGCGATAATCTCAGATGATGCAGGGAAGTGCCTCTTAACAGTGCCTGGCCCACTCTGGGGCATCCATTAATGATGCTCTTGCTATTGCAATACCACATGCAACAGAGGTCATCCAGCTCTCTAGCCTTTGCCTTTACTTTTGGTCAGTATAATCCTCAAAAACCCAAAATGAAGCAGAGAATGAGAGTTTGAGAATCTCCAATTCTGAGGTTTAGTTTGCAGAGGAGGAAATCAGTGGCTTCACTTGCTGATTTAATGCACAGCCACAGCCTTGTCCCTTCCACCCCCTCAGTATCCTTCTTGGTGACAAGCTGTGTCGAGAGGCAGAGCCAGAGGAGAACAGTCACAGCGTGTCTGTGCCAGCGCACACCCTGAGGTTGATGTTACATAGCACTACTATATTATCGAATAACAGATGCCAGCACCAATACTTTCTCTGCCAGTTCTTTTCCCTCCTACCTGCCAACTCATTCCTCTGACCTTGGCTCAATATGGTATCCATAGAATTTAATTATCTCTTTTGGCTGACGGCACTCAGGTCGTGAATCCACTGGTGCTGAACTTTCTGCTCTGGTAAGAGTGAGGGGGAGGTGAAAGAAACTGGAGTGACAAGATGTTAATTCCTTGTTGGCAAGTGAAATCCTCCTTCCAAAAAACTTCCTCTGGGTAGCAGGATGGGGTAACCCTCAGACCACAGTAAGCAAGTTTGAGGTCAGGGGACCCCAAGACTAAGGATCACTAATGTTCCAGGCACGTGATGGATACTCAGTCCCTTGACTGCTTTCTTCTCCTCTCTACCTACCCTCCCCATGAAGATTTATTCTGTACCACACACAAATGCACTGGGTAAAATATGTGATGAGGAAACAAGGGGAATAGTTCATAAATATTCTCAGCCATATGCAAACAATCTCAAATTTATTTTTCTCTTTTTTAAAGAGGAAAAAAAATCCACCCATTCCATGATCACTTCCAGATTCATTGAGGTTGATATTACATAAGACCCAATATTGTTTTCTCATCGTAGAGAAATAATGACTTGGAAACAGCAATTTGAGCTAAGAAAATAATACACTCTTAGCAGGGCACAGAGGCTGAATGGGGATCATGGAGCCAAAACTAGAGCTCAGCCTGCAAGGCTCTTGCAAGGACGGCTCAGCCCTGGCTTACTGGCGTGCTGTGTGCAGCAGGGAGCTGACTAGCAAGCAGCCGTCAGACCCTGCGGGGCTCCAACTGCACTTGGGGTGGCCAGATGTCAAAGGTGGTCTTTGAAAGAACAGGAACAGCTCTGAGGGCTCAGGTTGCTGTACTGTCGGTTTACGATGGGTGTTTTTTCTCTGGCATGAGAGATGAGCTTGCAGAAGTAAGCGCCAGAGACCCACCTCTGACCATCATCTCTGGCCTGATTGGGTATCTGTTTAATTCTTCCATAGAGAAGAAGTTGGGGACTGGACCCGAATGATCGCTGTTCTGCTGTGTTCCACTCTGTTCTTACCTTGTCCTCAGCATCAGCAAAAAAAACACTAGACTTCTGTAGTGGATCAGAGATGTTTATACCACCTATCATACAGATACACAAAAAAGCTTCTGAGATGGGGTTTATCATTCACTCCCAACTAGAAGATCAAGAAATTGATGCTTGGACTTATCCAAGAGTCACACACATAATCACTCTGTCCAAATTACTCCCGGAATGTACAATGAAAATGTACAGTACTTTGCACAGACTGCCGCAGTCTTCCTCACAAGCTCTCAATCCTTGAGTAATGGGATGAACAGTTTTAATTTAGTTCATGCCGGATTATAACCTAGTCTGACGTAATCAGGTAAACAGGCCCTCTTGAGAGTTTTGTCTTTGTAAAATACTTGTTTTCTCAGGCAGCCTCCTTTTCTCCTACTCTTGCCCTGCATGGGCGGGGGCTGTGACTCATGGCACTGAGGAGACTCAAGTCCTGGAATCTATGGGCTAGAGGCTTTGGGGTACTAACAGACCCCATGCCATGCCTCTCCTCAGGTCCCATGTGACTTCTGGTTCCTTGACTCCACTGCCTTTCTCACTTCCTCTTCGCCCAACCCCTTGGCTCGCCTTTGCATTTTCCAGTGTCAAACAGTCTAGCAGCCTTAGAGCAATAAGCCCCCCTGGAGCTGAGTCCCATGTGAGTCCCTCCATGGCCCTTGATGAGCTAAAATTGAGAGACAAAGGAATTTAGAACATTTGGGGACAATAGCTAGACTTGCAAAGCTACTGTCTTCTTGGAAATGCTATTTCAGTAAATCAAAAATTAAATATTGAATTCCTTTTTCTTTCTTAAAATTCCTTCTATAGAAATCCTCATCTCCCACAGTTGCTGGATGCCAAGATCAGATTAACATCATGTACTCAGAAAGGAGAAGAGAAAAATACTTTGAGACTAGGAGCCCTTTAATATGAGTTAGGAATAAAACCAGGATTTAGAGGTGGGGCTTCTGGATTCTACTTTTTTCACTCTGCAATTCCATCTCTGGCTATCAAGGACCGACTCAGTGCTCCATGAGGGTCCACCCAACCCACCATCTTTCTTCCATGCTCCAGATTTTTCTCATACATCCTTATTTCCCCCAATAAGAGGATGCTATGATGCTATGATCTCTCAGTCTTCTCAGCTAATTTGATAATAC